GCGGCATTACTGGGTTTTTATTTTTTCTCCATAAAAATGTTAGCAAAAAAGTAATGACAAGTAAATTTTCTAGAACTTCACGTAAAATAACGTCATTTTGACATTACCGAAACTGACACCAACACCGTGCGCAACGTCGTTGCAATAATGCCAGCATTTTCATTAAAATCATCATTTTTAGGTCTATGGCTGATACAATGACCGTGTCAGCCAATAGAATCTTTACATCAAATGCTGACGGCATTTTTTTAACTAATTGTTACTCCATTAATTACACCCTAAATTGTCGAGGGATATTTATATCTACTGAAGGTAGAGCTTTTCTTATACATGTACCGTTCCGAAAGAGAGGTGTAAACTGCTTTATCCTTGTGTTTCTGTCTGTCTGTCCTTGTGTCTGTTCGTAACAAATTTTCATCGCACAACTACTAATCGCAGGTGCTTGAAAATTTTAGCACACTCTTTATTCAGGTATTTTGGCATGCCATAAGATTGGATTCATTTTTGTTGAAATCCGGATCCGATGTAAGCTTCTTGGTTATCCATGCGTTTGTTAATTAGTATCCAATTTTCATCGCATTTTTTCTCAGCAGTTACTGTAAACGTATTACATTTGGCTGTGTATTCTTTTTAGTTTTTCATAGATCTGCTGTAAACGTATAATATTTGGTTGTGTATGCTTTTTAGCGCTTTTGGCGGAAAGCGATCTCCGCTAATCCAAGTATTTAAATGCCTTGCACATGTGTAGATGTTTTATATTTAGCGCATACGATATTTGGCGGAAATTAGACTTTGAACAAGTTAGCATGGATTTGATTTAGCGCATATCTTTATGTTTTTTCTCATAGTTATATGTGCAAGGCATTTAGCGGTGTACTTGGATAAGCGGAGATTGTTTTCCGCCAAAAACGCTAAATCTAAATCTAAAGAGAGCGCTAAAATTTAATCTGTAATTTTTACGCTTTGATCTGCAAGTTGTACATTTTAATCCATAAATAATTGCTAAACTATAGTTTGAATAGGAAGTGTTAGATCGCATGCGCCAACTCGCGAAGAAGTCGAACACAGAATAGTCTTGTTAGATAGTGGAAATATGGCGGATTTGCTGTGTTTCTTAGAAATGATTACAGATGAAGAGGAGTTAATGGCGATTGAACAGAAAAAATCATCATGTAACTTTATGTATTTGGCCAACAACAAAAGAAGGTCAACCCCCAAAGTTCGCTCGTATGAAGAGGTTTTAAGTGAGATAAAACTGTACAGAAATGTTGGCGATTTTAAGATTCATTACAGAATCGATTTAGAAATGTTTGATTTCTTGTTGCGAGAACTTCACGGAAGTCTAGAACGTCATAATCGAGGGGGGTCAGCACCTGTCCAGCCAGAGAAACAGCTGCTTGTATTTCTAAACTTCATTGGAAATCAACAGTCTATGAGAGAGTGTGGACATTTTTTTGGCCTTTCGATTTCCACCGTCCATGATATCATAAACCGTGTCCTGGACGCTGTTTTGGATCTGCAAGCAAGGGTATTACAATCATGTTTTTGGATTTTTTAAAAATTATTTGTTGATAGCCAAAAGAATACTTAGAGGTCTTGTCACAAGGAATACACAGCTCTGTAAACATATGAAAGCCATAGCCCTGCCCACTTTAAAAGTTATGGACAAGATTAAAGTTTTTGCAGACAGATGGATAGACAGGACTAAAACCATACCCCCCCCCCCCAAAATAATAAAAAAAAAATTTTGGATTATGTGGACATAACCTGATAACAAGAAATCAGTTTAAATATTTTGGTAAAATTATAATCAGAAATTTATGACCTAAAATTATGTCAGTCAAACTTTGTATTTATATAATCTTTGACATTTCATTCATGGTAGATCATCCAGTGGCCATCTGCTCAGAAACAGCAGCAAACTGCAAGAGAGGTAGAAGACAGATATGGCATTCCAGGTGTGATAGGGTTCATAGATGGAACTCATATCAGACTTGCAAGTGCACCTGACAGTGACAGAGACTATTATAACAGAAAAGGTTTTCCATCAATGCAGTTACAGGTACTAGTATCTAACCAAAACTAGTGTAAAGAGGATTCATATATTCCATTCAAAGATGTAATTGAAGCTCGAACATTTTAAATTCATTAGTTCACTTTGTGGTTTAATTTTAAAACTTCACTAGGAAAAAAAAGTTACCACGTTGCCTGGCACAAGTCATGCATCTTTATGCCTTTTTAAAATAAATTATCCGTAATTTTGCAGGTTGTGGCTGACAGTAGCATGCTGATCATAAGTGCGTACACAGGGTGGCCTGGATGCACCCATGATGCAAGGGTTCTCCGAAATTCAACGCTGTATCAGAAAGCAGAGGAGGGTCAAGCTATAATTCAAAATCACCACATTTTAGCTGACAATGCATATCCCTTGCGCAATTGGTTAATTTCTCCATTCAAAAATTATGGACACCTTACGCCACAGCAGCAGAGGTACAACACCAAACTGTCTGGTGCAAGACAAACAGTAGAGAGGTGTTTTGCCCACCTTAAAGGAAGGTTTCGTCGTTTGAAAGAGGTGACATTTCACGATCCAAGGCAGATAGCAAAATTAATTATGGCTGGGTGTATCTTGCACAATTTGTGTGTGATCCATACTGATGACATTGAAGAGTTCATGGACAATAATGCAGTGCTAGAAGATGCAGGGAATGAATGTGAGAACATCTACCAACATGGAGTTCATGGTGTGGCAAGGAGACTAAGACTTCTTCAACAAATTTAGAGTGTGTGACCGTGACAATAAACACTTAATAAAATGGATGTGTGTCTCTGCTTTGCAAGTTGTCTGTCTTTATAATGAAGGATCCCGGTGTATTCAAGTATTCCTCATCTTGTTTTCATACATCTGACTGATATTGTTTGATCTTAATTTTTGCTCTGATATGAATGCATTTAATAAATATATAATAAATATGACATAAAAGCAGATGCTTCATACATGTACTAAAGTCAAGGAACAAGATCGATGATCTTTTCTTAATTGTTCCTCAAATATGGTGTGTTGGACCAAGTTAACAAATCATGAACAACTAAGAACAACACTTTTGTAAGGAAAACAAATTGTTTAAGTAAATTTCATTTTATTCATGGAACTCTCCCTGAGCAATTTAACCAATAAAAAAAAATAAGATTCCCCAATACATGTATAACACCGGAAATTGACTTGGCATATGACATTGACATATCACATTAATGTACGACTTGATAATGTCATGATAATATCACAATGTAGGTATTTGCAATGGGGATAACAAAAACAACTGTAAAAAAATATGCAAACTTATAAATAACAAAAAAATCAACAACAAAAGAGGCACATTTATCTCATTGCTCACTTACTTAGTGTCAATATGATATATTTAAGGGTCACTATAAAACAATATTGATTTAGGAAAAAACTTAGCTCTTTGTAAGAAATGTTTAACAATTTCAATCTATTCTTTTTGTATTAATCATATCTGACAGTTAAATATATATGATACTCAACCTAACATAGACCCCTTTTAAATGTCGGAAGCAAAATATAATGGTACAAATACTTTTAAACAAAAAATAGACCTTGCCCGCAAAAACAAAAAAGATTTTCAGCATTTTTTGCCCAAAAGCTTTAAAAAATTAATTGAACTCATCCTTTTGCCAACATCAAACAGGTCATTTAGTACTACTCTATCAGTGCAGCACTATAATAGAAAAAAATCAAAGTCCGACTATAAGCAACTGGGATCTAAAAGTTTTTGATCACTTTTTAGACAGTATTTCAAGAAATTTATCGAATTTCTGCATTTTCTCGTTGTGCATTTTTTCCATCTGGTCTAGGAATTGAGTATGTTGTTCTTCAAGAAGCCCACAAACATCCTGTTTCATATTTGTCCTCATTTTCTTCTTCTTTTTCTTCTTGCTTACCATATCATCAACATCATCTTGCAGAACTTCTGTTTCTGTTTTGTTATCTGAATCAATGGTATGCTGCGGTTTAGTACTAGCTTTGGTGCCATAGAACTGATCAAATTCTTCCTTGTGTCGGAAATGTTTGGCTTCTGAGCCAGAGGGAGCATCTATAACTTCTTTCCATTTTTTTTAGGGCATTGTATTTGTATAAGCACTGATTGGGAGTTACCTTGCAATTCAGATCCAGAAGTTTCTCGGCGATTTCCTTCCACAAATCTCCATGATTCCTTTTTTTCTTAAAGGCATCCTCCATTTGGTGACGGGTATCAATCAGAAATTTTTCTTCTGTTTCTTTCCAAACTTTGAATGAGTCATCAGTAGTATTGACTGGTGGAGTATTGACTGGTGGAGTGTTGACTGGTGGTTCTCTCACAGTGGCAGTTTCACTATTTGATGGCGTGTTATTCTTGGTGATCAATCTACCTACAGTGCCAGTGGTCACTTGTGTTTCTGTGGAGCTTGGTGATTTCTTACCATCCTCATTTATCTGGTCTTGGATTAAACCATTTATAATTAATTGTTTAATGTCTTTAGACACATTAGGCGACTGAAGGGAACTCAGAATTGATTTACTGACTTTCAGTTTCAGCACCCTCCCATCCGCCCTTCCTTTAACTGTTACTGTTGTTAGGCTACAACATGAAATAATGTTTGATAAATATTGCATGATGAACGAGAGGCCCATGGGCCACATCGCTCACCTGAGCACTGTGGCTAGGAAAAAGTAGAATTGGTTTAATTATTATTAAAAAGTTTAAATCCAAAAGTATTCCCATGACCAATCATGGGTTTGCTATTCTTGAGAAGATATGATTTTTAAAGAATTTTCCTAAATATGTCTATGTAAAACTTTGATCGGACATTGTGGCCCCGCCCGACCCCAGGGGGTTATGATTTGAACAAACTTGAATCTACACTACCTGAGGATGCCTCCATATAAATATGATCAATAATGGCTTTGTTATTCTGGAGAAGGAGATTTTTAAAGAATT